ACAGCACAATAGTTACTAACTACATTTACAGTAACTCCAGTTATAATCAGTGTTGATGAACCTAATCCCTCTACTGAAAATTCATCTGTTTGTCAAACAATGTCAAATGATGTAGCCTCGAGAAAGGTCAACACTGAAACTACAGGTGTGACTTCAATTACATCATATCAGTAAGATGAAAAGAACAAAAATCCAATTCTGCAAATACATCAGCAAGTGGCAAAGCCTAAATGCCCTGTCTAACGTATGAAAATTCACTGAAGCTAATACTGATTATACCAGTGAAGCTGAATCAACATCAGGAATCATAAAGTATATAGGCCTCTGGCTACTATCATCACTTTAAGCACTGTATTTATCAGATCTGAGCTAAGCAGCACCTAGTACAGAAAGCAAGAGAAATGATTAGGCCTGTTTTAGGAGAACTAGCAAAATGCTTCGTGTTAACAAGGAAATCCAGAACAGTATCACTGGAATTAAGTACATGATAGTTACCTCATTTTCTTCTACTCCTCCCAGTTATTAGTTATGAATGCTTACCATACAAATAGATTCATACAGAAGACACATCAACTTTACATTCCATGGAAAATGTACCAACTACAGCATTCACTATTTGTATATTGAACCAAAATCATAATACTTTAAAAAAAGATTAAAAAAAGGGAAGTCCATAAGCATACAAGTAGAATAAACAAAGAGTAAAATTCAAGACAAGTCATTCTGGTCCACATTTTTAAGTTTCTGTGCTTGATATATGCAATACGCAATGCATGCACAAGGTGGAGAGGTTCACATGCACACACAGGTGATATATAAAGCTTGACTTGCAAGTATCAGGCATCGTGTGTAAAGCTGAACATGTAGAAAATATGCAAGTACCTTTGAAAATTTGCACCTGAAATTAAAGCTATTTTAAAATGACTGCAGTTCTGTGCCAAAATATATTTTATAAAACTAGTTGTTCTTTCCCAGATCTGCACAGCTGTATTATTAATATAATTCTGTCTTATATAGATATGGTGTCTCAGAGCTTAGATGGATTTTTTCCAGGTAAGTATGTAAAGTGGCTATAAAATGTGGGTACCTAAGGAAACAACAAAAATTTGACAAGATTTGTAACCATTCAGCCACAGATGGAGATTAACTGCATTTCTGTTCTCTGGGCACTAAGATTATTTGTAGCATGTAGTATCTGGCTGCATACATTTTTGTAAAAGCCCATTTGTACTGTTTGTGCTATTTACTGGAATAAATCAAGTAGAAAAACTTCTGGAGTAAGAGGTAATACAAGACTACTGGTGTTGAAAATTATCTGGTTGATCATCAACCAGAATTGAGCAATATAAAAGTCCTACGTTCTTTGCAGCAAGTCTGACCTCAACACTGTGGCAATCAGGTACGGTAGTCTGAAGATTTTTTAGCAGTTTTAGATAAATGCAAAAACTGAATTATTTAACTAAATATGAAAATGAATGGTAGTTACTACAATATCATTTATTTACATAATTTTATATTAAATTCAGTTTTATGCTACTCCAACATTTTTATATCTTCAATGCATTGGAGATGTACTATTTTAGAGAAGATGTTAAGGTAAAGCTGAAGATTTCTGCACTTGGAGTTTTTGACACCTGGAATGGTGTAGAAGGCAGCATTTGAGTTTGTGAGATAAGCACATTATTCTTAGGCTGTCTACACAAAGAAAACTTGGATAACTTTCCACCTGTGGTAGCAATGGTGGAGGCTATACAGTTGACAAACACCTGACTCCCGTCTACACTACAGCCTTCACTGTTGCTGGCATAGTGAAGCTACATTGATGGTGAAACAGAGGAGCTAATTTTCCCAGTATAGAAGAGACCTAATATTTCCCCATTTTATTTTCATAGGTGTGGGATTACAGCGTGTCCACGTTGTATCAGATTGCTTCTTCAGCCAGCAGATCTTAGGGCTGAACCCAGTAGTATTGTATGAAATTAATTTCATATTGCATTGTATGAATTCCAAGCCACCATATTTTCTTCTTCTTTTTTTGGATGAAGGTGATCTTGCATATTAATATGAGAGTTTTGCCAATTCTCATTTTCATTCACACCAAACAATTCCTCTTACCTTCTACCGTACCCACCCTTTCTTTTAACAAGGTGTATTTGGGATCTGGTTACACAATCACCATTAGATGGTTAAAGAGAATATGTGTTTCTCCTAAAATACATTTACAGATAAGTTTTTTTTCAAAACTTTTAAAACTCACAATCAAAATGCTTCTGAACAAATTCCTTTGAAATAAATACATATAAATTAGAATAAAGATCTTTGCAGAACTTCTGTATTCTGGGAACTAGCAAAGCAATACTGAAATATAGGTCATCCCTACAAATGGAGTTTTGAACAGTGCTCTGAGATGACCTTTAAAATGGGTCATAGTATCGGTAAATACTGCCCATTTCCATTTATTGAAACACATCATTTTATTAAGTAATTTAAAAATAGCACTAATGGTTTAGCCATGATGATTGTCAAGTTAATATTCAGCATCACAAATACCATCACAAAAGCTTTTCCATTAAAACAAAACAAACATACACTAGACAAATGTGAAAAATACATACAGAAATGTTGTTTTGTAGTACAATCTTCTGTTCATTAGCTGCCATGATTCCGGAAGACAGAAATTTTAAGATGGTAACATTATTTATTTAAGCTTGCCTCCTTAAAATTGGTCACAAATCCTTGGGTTATTTTTTTCAACCAATTCTCTCTCTCCCCCACCCCATACCCCTCCTTCCAAGCAGATTTTTAAACTGGATAAAGTGCCTCAAAAAGATAGTAGCAGTAGAATGTCATATTTGCATTTCATAATTCCCTGAAGAAGCCACAGAGTTTTACAAATGATGCAAAAAAAAAAAAAAAAAAAAAAACCCAAAAAACCTAAAAAGAAAGAATATTCACAGAGCTAAAAGTTGAATTTAGGATAGATTCCATGAAAAGTGGCCTCAGCAGTGTTCAGCAACACAGGTTTGTACACAATAATCACACTGAATTCTAGGTGGTAGAGCTGGTGCTATATATCAGATAAGTCACATGCCAGGAATTGTATAACAATTGAACTTACATATTCCAATAAATCACCCACTCATTCACCTTTGAAACTCCCCAGTAAGTTTACTAGCTTTGCTTTGTGTCTTTCTTCTTATTCTTTTCCAGAAGGATCACATATCAACTTGTACAACTCAGTGCAAACTTGGACTTGGATCCATTGAAACACAAATGGGTACTAAACTTTTGAGCATCTGAATAGTTTCATTGGCTTCAGTGGGACTACTCACATGCTTGGAGTCAAGCATATGCATAGGGGAGTTGCTAGGCTGGAGCCAGAGTGCTCAGTTGCAAGACATTAAAATAGCAGTGGCTGCCAGGAGCACCTAAGGCAGAGGGAGGGGCTAATCAAAGCTAGGAATTTGGTGGCATAGGTACTTTGCCTTCATGAGGGAAAAAGTGTGTTTTTAACCCTGTGTAATATCCTAGCATACACAAGGCAATTTGCAGTTTTCATATGTTAGCTGGTTGAGGAAAACCAGGCTCCCGCCAGGGTTTACCTCAACCAACTAACATGCTAAAACTAAAAATGCATTATCTACACTAGGATTTTAATAAGTGTTAAAATCATACCTTTCTTCCTTTGCCATACAGTGCATTGGTCTCAGTAGCCTCCCCACCCCCCCCAGCTCGTTTTGCAGGAGCATCAAGAGGCTAGAATCCTCCACAGAATTTCCCAGAAGTGGCCCTTCAAAAGGCCCCCAACATCCTTTAGGAAGGAGGGACTCAGCAGCAGTTTCATCTCCGAGTAGTATGGCCTCATCAAGTGTTTTATATGTACTCTATCCAGTTTAATGAGCTATACATTGTTTGCTCACTAAAGGTCAATTCCTGTAGAAGATCTGCAGAAAGCTCCAAGAGCATTAAACCAGCACTGAGTGCGAGTCCCAGCTGCAGAGATGCTGCACAGGAGAACTTAGTCCCTCCTGCATGCCATAGAACAATGATATGTGATGACTCCCCATACCATACCACTCAAAGGATTTTGAAAGCAGGGGCATCAGCAGCAATTCCATGACTTGCCAACTTCAACTGGAGGAGAGTGCAAAGGCTGTGGCAGTTGCTGCA